TGAGTACGTGAGATTTCGAATCCAACTCTTGCTGCGCGCTGGTTCGAATTTAAACTTACACATATTCTTTCCGACCAAGTTACACTCCACTCATTCCATCATTATAATTTATTACATATTTTTTTTATCACCGTTGATCCTTGCAATCTGATTAGCTCCAGGCAATGCGATTTTGACACGAATCCCTCTTTTTCTTGTTTTAGTTGATAACCAATCACACTGAGTCTTCATAGGTTTCCAAATTGTTGATCAATTGTTGATCAACGAGATTTCAAGCTTTCATAATTTATGGACAGGCTTAACTGGTGAATAAAAGCTGGTTATTTTTCCGAAGGAAATAAATGACTATGAGTCAAGGCCAACCTTTTGTTGCGTCGTTTAAAACAATGGCTTGTATTAAGGAATGAACTGAATTATCTCGAACTATTCTGTTTCATCCACTAGACGTCATTTGATGAAACGTGCTGAGACTACCTGAAACTCAATGAAGAGGCGGAATTTTACTTTTCATACCTACGTAAAGTAAAATAACTTAATGAATTAAAGCAATAGCAATATTAGACACGAAAGGAAAAAAAAACTTTTGTCTAGTTTTAAACTTTACTATGATGTCGTGCGCATGAAAATTTGTCATAATGATGGTCTTCACCACCACTAATAAAATTTAGTTTTACCTGGTCATACGATTGAAAGAAACAACGCAAATATCTTTCCAGAGGCTGTCTTTCACAGTATAGATACGAAAAATAAAGGGCTACGTTCACTCGCTCACGTAAATCGGTTCCCGGCGGAGACAAAATATTTTTTCCTCTTTTTATTCAAATTTATTTGCAGTTACGCGTGATGTGTTATGTACTAAAACTTACTTATTTCGACTAAGCATTTTATACAAAATACTTTTTTTAACTGCAAAAATAAAATTTAACCGCTTGTGAAATGAAGTTCGTAGAAAATCATTTGGAAAGCTTCTACAGAAAATTTTGCATAGCTTGAATAAAGCGATGGTGACATAATCTTGGCTGGTTTTTTACTGACCTTGATTTATGGAAATTACTTAACGCTCGTGATTTTATAACCCTTTTATTCGTATGTTTTGACAACGGAAATTTGTCAACATTGGTAGTGAACCACCATGATGCTAGGAAAATTACTAAGAGGAATTTTTAAAAACGGATCTGCTCAATTGTGTAAGGCTTTAAAGCATCAACATCATCATCTGACCTCAGTCGAGTTTGACATTTAGAAGAGTAACTACGACTTGTTCAATGGCAGTTTTGGTGAAAACTTGTTGCTGCGGGTGCAGTCTACGAACAGGTGTTATGATTCTCGGAATCTTCGGCCTAGTAAGTTTTAACAAAGATTAATTACATAAAACTCTGAAGTATCCCTCTGCTTTCATACCTTAGTGAACAACCTGATTTCAAGATTTTCGGAGCGATTTTGAAGAAACTACTAGCTTTTAGTTCCGCAGAAAATAACTAAAGCGGAGATTAACCGCACGAAAGTTCGTTCCATCTCTTAAAAAATTTCTGTAGGTTTTAGTGCATAGTTTCTGTCTGTTCAAAAACGATCCAGGTGTTGCTAACCGTACAAATTATATTTTCAGTGCCAAGGCATTTGCGTATTCTGGCATTTCAGAACGAGCAACTGTAAGCTTCTTAACGTTTACTAAGTCAAAAAATAATAATTCAAGCAGTTTGGTTTGCTTAGACTGTGTTCTGTGGTTTTTTAATTCTTTTCTTTCCTGTTTTTAAATTACATGTTGCATTTGCAAGTCTTACATGTAAGTGAACAAAAGATCCTCGGGAGTGTCTGAGCGAAGAAGAATTAGTTTTATATGTCAAGTAGTTCAATTTATTTTAAACCTGATTCCTAATTCCTTCCGTATCTATATTACAGATTGTATCAGCATATTCAATTTATCAACAAAGTCATAACATTAAAGTTTACAAGCTTCTGGAAAAAAACGCCGATGAATTCAGCCAAAATTCGCCTTCCAGCAAAAAGCTTTTTCTAGGTATTACATCTTACTTTTGTCTTGTTTCGTAAATATGCTAGGAAGAACACATGTTTAGGATGAAATTGTCTGCTGTTGAAAGATTATCCAATGTGTAATATACATTTTACCATTGCGATCTTGCTGCGATCTTCCGTGAAATTAGCACAGTAAAAGTGACGTTCAACCCGCGTTTTATGGAAATGTTCAGCATACTTTATGGGAGATGTACCTTCCCGGCCTTGCTTTTGTCTCATCAAATCTTTCAAAAAGCTCAATTGAGCTTGCAGGAGAGCAAGTCTGACAGGTTTGAGAATAGTCTCAGTTTGGCACTCCTGATTAAATTCGTGCCATGCACGGCTAAGAAAGGTTGAGGGGTTTTTGAGTTATTTCCCAACACTAAAGACTTTTTTACCCACGGTGGATTCGAAGGAAATAAAAAGTTCCCTAAAGTAGAGAATGACTTTGGATGTTCGTTCGTTAAAATAATCCATTGACAATGATTCCGGAGACAAAACATTTGATTTGACGAAGGGACTGTACTACTAAGTGCTATCCTGCACGAACCAATACAACAGGGTGAATGTATTTGTATCCACAAGCAGCCATTGAATATCCTCTATCTTCCATCTTCCATGCATTGATTGATTGATTGATTGATTGATTGATTTTTCTTGTCTAACGCTCATCTCTTTAGTGTTCATCACACTGGGTTACGTTAACCTCGCATTCAAAGTGATCTCACTGTTGGTGAACCTGTTACTTCTGGGATCAAGTTGCTCAGTAAGTCCAACATTACAATTATCCTGTAACAAGAACACAAATTAAGTATATAACTGAAAATTATTAGAGAAGATTTGAGATTGTGACAAAACTTTGTCTTAGTGGGTCATAATAATTCATCTTTTAGAAATGTGAAAACTAGCTGTAAGATTTTGCGACGGAGCTAGCTTTTCGACGCCAGCCAGAATTAACATTGGTTTTGTTTCATTTAACTGTTCCTGTTTTCTTTGATTTTTTTTTCATTGATTAGGCATTACTTATCAATAGTTCAGTCTGGCCTAGTTAATATCAGTTACGGTGTTATCATCTTCATAATTCGGGGCTCGGGGAATAATTGTTAATTGGTATCTACCACACAATTACAAAAAAAAAAAAAAGTTTATGTTTTTCAAAGTGCCGAAAAATAGTTGTTGTTCTTTTCCGTCGCAGGGTGACGCGCGCTTGGCATTTCCTTGGCTTGGGTGGAGTATGTTCGAGCTCTTCTTCAATTTTGGATTTATCGCATTTTTTATTATCGTCATCAGAGGGGTAAATTGAAACAAAAATTTGTATTGAGTGTCAGACGAAAATTTTCGACGGACTTATTACTGAACATGATTTATGATTTATGCCATAGTTTGCATTCTTCTTGCTTCTCTACGGCATTGAATGGCTGCTGTCGGTAAGTTTTGTTGCACTCCTAGAGCAATTTTCAATTGAGTATTGCTAGTAATTCGAGATTGCATAGCTGTTGATTAGCTTTGTTCCATGATCGGTTCAGAAAAACCACGCCATCCTATTTTTCATTTCCTCCTCAAGATCTACTTCATCGTGGTGGTGTATTCGTACATCAAAGACCTTGGTCGAGATCCAATTCCACCTGGAAACATTGAACAGGCGGAACCACCCCTTGGAATGTCCACTGCTCAATTTCCATTAAATGTAATTTATCCATCGGGAACAAGTTCCACTTTTTCTTCCTCCTTTGACAGGCGGCAACCAAAGTCAAGTGGTAATTACATTTCCGTTGTTTCAATGCTCCGTAAACTGCGAAACAAAATTCGCCAAATTTTACTAGGTAAAAATTATCTTTGATAGCATCTGCTAACGAACCAGCTTTTCATCTATGGGAAATAGTAGTCGCTTTTCTTCAGCTATAATGTTGTGACCCTCGAGAAGTGCCTCAAAATTTTTTTGACTATGTATTATGACCTCAGTATTCTGATTTTGTAACAGTAAAAAAACTGAAAGCTTATCTCAGCTCTATGCCTTAAGACGGCGTTTCTATCTAGTCGAATCCATGCAAGCAGAGGGTACCAATTTAGAATTTTTTAATCCCTGGCCAAGTATTCCCTTCTCTGCAAAGTATTTGTGGTCTCTGGGGTTCACAGGTTCAAATGATTACTCTGCTGGTCAGTTTATTGGATTTCCTCGCTCATTAGTGCTCAGTCACAATCTCGCGAGATTTGAGCTGGCGAGCGATGCGAACGTGCGAGAGGTCTAAGAAGGCATCAAACCTATGAAGGCATCAATTGCCAATTACCTGCGCAAAAGTACCAAGAAAACACATGAAATAACCGCTGTCACGCAAAATATGCGAAACGTTCACAGAGATTTGCAAAAGGCATTCAAATAGGCAAAAGGAAAATCAAGATTTTTAAATATTTCTTAGCTTTTTACTTTCTATTTATACCAGAATATGATAAAAGGAGCCAAAGTGTATCAATTTATTGAAGTCCAATTTTCCATCATACCGCAGGTTGGAAATCGACCCACCCTGGTTTTGGAGGGGGCTCAGCAGATGCCGGTGGGAGCTCAGGAGGTTGTGGAGGTGGTGGAGGTTGTGACTGACTCTCATGAAGGACCAACTAATTCGAATTAAGGAAAAGCTTTTTTTTTTCGGATGACAGACTCGGATTTAGGGGACGGTCATTGTCTATCGCCTCTGAGTGTGTGCGTGTGTGCGTGTGTGCATGGGTGCGTGGGTGCGGGAGCGCGTGGGTGTGTGTGAGAGGACGGTGGGTAAAGGAGGTATTGAAGGATTTTGGTCGTGTCACAATGAAATTTACCTGACTCCCTCCTCTACGGCTCAGTATTGTTCTAATGATCCCTCATTGGTAGTCAGTTCCGTGTAGTTACCCCGTTACACTCTATTGGGACGACATTACCCCCCCTCCCATCCGTTGCCCCTGAAAACCATTTGGCCGCGCCAAAAATCCTCCCAACTACACCCCCACCCCGGCTACAAATAATGGCGGGAATTTATATTCGTAGGAGTTGATATTGAAATATTATTTGAAACATTTTTACTTAATACTATATACATCGTCACGTTCATTTTCAAAATTATTGTGGTATTATTCAGCTTATAATTAGTAGTATAATAGGAATTCTATTGAGGATTTTGATCGCTCATACTAGAATTCAAGTTAACGTGAAGTGATTCGAAGAACTAGTTTCAGAGTTGAAGCTTAAAAAGGTAATGCAGGTGTATATTTTAAATGTAAAATGGCCGATATTTTTTTTAAATAAACAAAACTGTATTGGAAACAAAACAAAATAACATGTAAACATTGGTTTACGACAGTCAATAAAAAATAATAAAGTAACAAAATGTGTTTTATAACCATTTGACGTATTTCATTCAAAAAGAAAAAAATAAGAAAAAGCATGCATCAAAGTAAAGGCCTGTCAGTTGCCACATATATTTAATAAGATTTGCCACCATTTCAATACGGTACTGTTCGAATAACTTGCTGATGAATGGCCAATATGGTTTAGGTTAATTAACTGTTGTGAATAATAAAATCGATCAAAAATGGAGTATTTCAAAGTATATCGAGGAACAATTTTAATTAATAAAATGAAAATGATACGGGCCATTCACATCAAAATAAAAATATATTCAAGATGCGTTTTTTTCCTTTTTTGTTGCCACTTTTTGACGTGAAAGTTTAAGCCGGCTGAAATTTCGACAAAAAAATAGTAGTTGTAGCACAAGGAAATGTTACTTTACAATGTTGCGGTTCAGTACCTCAACTTTAACGCAATAAAATGGTACTAGCCAGTTGCAATTGAAAAGTTTTCCTCTGAATTCTCAGTGTATTTTTTATTCTCTCTTCCTATTTCTTTTCTTACGGGCGAATGATCGATATAAAAAAGACATCTTCATAGAGAAAAAACAAAATTGAATAACCTCCCCCGCTAATATTGAAGCTTTTAATTGATAAGACTTTCAAGTTACGTGGTCAGGAAACCCAGACAATATTAAAAATTAAAACGTACTGTTTGGCTAACATAGTTTATTTTCATGACTTTATCTATTCATCTTTTCAGTATTTCGCAGCACTGCAAATTACCTTTAAAATTCTATGCAAAGATGGAACTTATCCTGTGATATTTCTGCCCACGTTTCAATAGTTACAGAATTTAATGATGTCTCATTTATTATACAGTCGTGCAACCTACGAAAAAGGTTAAAACTGCTCTCAAGCCGAGATGTTAACTCCACCAGAGCTTAAATACCCCAGCTTCCCTCCTATGAAGTGAATTGAAAGGCAAATGATACTGATGCAGTTCCTTCGTGCTCTAATAGCAAGGTCGTTAATTGTTTCTGCACTTGAACCTGTAGTTTTATCCGGCAAACTATGAGCTCGCGCGAATCATGACTCACTGGTGACTTCAGCTCAGGGAAAGATCTGACTCCATGGACAGCAAAGTACGTTTCTTATTGTCTGCTTCACTGCTTGCCTCACCTCTCTGATCCTCCAGCAGTAAAGGGACGGGTTCAAGGTAGAGTTAACTGTTGTAATTTCATCAATGAAGACTAAATGAGTTTTTCTAAGAGTGATCATTGGCAACATTGTAATTTCTGGCACATGACTTAGAATTAATGCTTAACTGCACCCAAAGTGCACTATACAATGCTTCTCTGTATTGCCCCAAGTTCATTACTTTTGCGTTTGGTTGGCTGGGCTGTTGTTGAACATAGTCTTATACTTGAGCCTGATGATAACTGAGAGCGCGGAAACTTTCTTTGTATGGGGCGATTGAAATCACTGAGCATGTTAGAACTATACCACTGAGCCAACGGGTTAATCGAGTATCTGAAATGGAAAATGATCCAGCGATAATGGATAGAATCCAAAAGTAATGATATAGGTGCTCTTCAAAGTTACGATTTTTTTGTATTTCAGCCCCAACAACGGGACGAGAAGTCTGTCCACGCTTATGGCCATCACGCCATCAAAGAAACTCCACATAATGCATTTCTTGATATGTAGATTCCATCCCTTGCGTATCGACAAACACTCCAATGTTCGTGAAACAAGGACATCTAATAAGCAGCAGCGAGAGGCTGAGTAATAAGACCAACCAACAACTCGGTTGTTGTCAGACAACGATACAAGAGTTTGGACGGTGAATGAAGGGAAGATTCCTTGTTGAGGGCAACAAGGATTAGAAAATTCCCAAGAAATGCTGCCAGTGATGGAGAGGAAAATGTTAACTTCTGAAGAGAAACTGACTGTTATTGTAACCCAACTATCAAGGAGGGGGAACATAGCAATACTTTATATGTTTCCGTCTGTGTTCCACCCTCTGTTGAGTTTGTCGTTGTAATCATGGTGCAACTCTTAAGACGGTTTTCCCACTACAGCTAATGTTTTTTGGAACTGCTGGTAACACGGGATAATACTTCTTTACAGCAGCCAACTGGCTAATAATTAGTTAAATCTTATAATTCTTTATTTCATCAAAAATAAAAAAGCTTCTTTAATGCATCCTACTCGTTTTATACGTATATACCTTTCTTGAAATTTGGAGGGTATGCCTTGCATAAATCAACCCCATAAAAGATGTTCGACTGGCTGATAAATTTCATTGAAGAACACTTTTTAAATAAGAACTTTAAAAATTCAAGGATGATTACACCGGGTAGTTATTATTCTTTCAAAAAAACAAAAACAAAAAACAAAAAAAAAAACTGGAATTGGCCCGGAACGGTAAGCCTAAATTGACTTTGAGGATGTTTGTCGATCCGCAAAATTACATTCCCGCTGAAAAATCGCGTTAAACAAAATATTGCGAACATTTGTAATCTTCAGCCAAATGAGATACTACAAAAGTGATTCAATTGCAAGTATCCAAAGCACATTCTTTGTTTTCGGACTGACTCGAAACATCTATGTACTATTCGTCCACCAGTTGTTTACTTCCTCTTTGTAAAACTAAAAAGAAGATGGAAGTAGGAAGTAGGAAGTAATAAAAATACAAATTATCTATTTCCTTCCTTTCTACCTATCTGTCCTTTCGATTCAGCAGAACATCCGCCCTCAAGCTGATGTTTCGCCCATCAAACTGATGAAACTGTTATTCATTTAGAGACGCACTTCACCTTTGCCTGAAAAGCACAAATTTTCTCCGTCCGCAAAAATAAATCTTCCGCAAAACGTTCATACCACTCGAAAAACAGTCTCGAAATAATTTCAAAACAGTTATAATTCCGAGCGCATTCAACTGACAACTGAAAAATCAATCTATGGCCATAGATGTCAAGAAATTTTTAAAAATAAAGTTTCGTTTCGTTATTTAAAAACAAACCCCAATTATTTTCTCTTCTTGTCGTATCTGATCAGAATTTATAAAAGGAACCATAACAGGTGAAAAATTGTTACTTAACTTTACCATCACACCCTTAGAAAGCCATTTTGGTATTTATCCATTTATCCATTCGAACGGCAGCTGATTGTGATCTTAAATTATTTTCTAACTTGTTTTGGTTTTTTTAAATTGAAATTTACTCGATCATGAACGCTGTGAAGCTAAAATTGATCGATATATGGTTATGAAATACCAAAATGGTCGACCACTTTGATTCATTAAAGTAAAATACTAGATAGCGGATATGCCTATCAAAATGTCAAAGTATTGGAATATTCAAGAAACTTTTACTTTTATTTTTTGAAATTTGCATTTTTCTGTTTTTGAGTCACTCAGAAAAAAATTGTTTTGGGCTTTTGACTGATTGGCAATTAAGGAACATTTATTGCAGTACAATTGTTTAGAATGAAATTTAATTCGAAATTTAAATGAAATTTTTTTGACTTAAGGTCTCGCTTCTTTCGCAAATATATAATAAAACGAGTTAATATCCTATAATTAAAATTCTGTTTTTCTCTTTCTCCTGCAATATAATGCGGTGTGTACCGACCATTCGCTTCGAATTTTTCTTTTAATATTTTCAGTATGTATCAATTCTATCTTATTTTTTTGCCCTTCAAAGTTTCTCTCAAACAAACGATCTATCCTGAAAAGAAAGCCATCTTAGAAACCGCGGCGGTCAATTTCCCGCGCTTTTAAGACTGCATAAACAATCAAACCCTTATTTTAGTCTCCCCGTTGTACTCTTTCAGCGACGACTGACCCTCTTCCCTCAGTTCAGTATTGGAAACCATATGATTCTCCAAAATATTCGTCAGATTCTACTAGATTCTCCTAGTTCTTAGAACAAATTTTAGAATTTCACGCATCTGGAATCGGAAAGACATTTGTTTCCACGAAGCATAAATGATCTCCAATTGCATAACAAAAACTCCCATCGCAATCTTTGCATATTATACGGAAATACCTCTGAGATAGAACTCACAACCGTTAAAACCTCCAAATATATAAAATTATACAAAATTATTAGGTGGATTTAGATTCCTAGCGATTTCAAACAATATCTCATTGATGTCTTGTTATTAAAAGTAATCTACAGGCTGTTTTCTCTTCCTTTCGCTTCTGACAAGAACCTGAAGGAACTGCAACAGGTAATAAATATAAAGTAACTTAACTAACAAACCGTCCATTTAATTTTTATCTTAATTTACTTTCCTAACTTCTACAATATCTCTCATTCTCTATTTACCTCTTCTCTGTCAAGGCTGAGACATATTTCATATAAAGAGCTCATTTCGTTCAATTCTTATCAATCGTGCGCTTAGAATCAAGAGCAGTTTAGTTCACAATACTGAGCGCGTAGTTATTATATGGTTCACTAGATCAATTTTAAAAACATGGAATGAGCAGAATACAGCCTTAGAATTTGGCATGAAAATAAGCAGCGGGTTCGAAGAGGTTCTGCCATACAGTATATCGGAGGAAAGTCAAACAGATAGCACCTCTCGGCATCTAGGTGATATTAATTATGCCTTTCAATTTTTCTTTTTACCGACGAGGTTACATTACTAAACCATGGTACTGTATTTTTATCTGATATTCATCAGCATAAATAGGCAAACACTAGAGCATCCAAAACACAATAGATGCTGACCGACTCTGAGAAAATATAACTAAGTCCATGGAAAGCAAAGTGCTTGTCGGATTGTCTGCTTTACCGCTCGTCTCACTTCTCTGATTTTCCAGCAATAAAGAAACGGGTTCAAAGTGGAATTAAAATACACTAAAATTGTTGCAGTTGCATTTATAACCACTGCATGAGAAGAATAAATTTTTCTGTGAGTGATCACAAGAAGTACTATAAATTTTGGTACATAGCAAACAGCTAATGCTATCTGCACCCATAGTGCAGCGTTTACTGCCTTCTTGTATCTTGCCATATTCAGCGCATTTGGTTGGCTCTGCTGTTGTCGAACATTATCATGTATTTGAGCCTGATGTTTTCTAAGAGTGCGAAATATGTTTGTGTACGAGGCGATTGAAATCACTGAGCATGAAGGTATAACGATAATACCATACAAACGGGTTATTCGAAAATGTGAAATGGAAATTGATCCAGCGGCGACGGATAAAGTCCAAAAAGTAGCTGTAATGATATACATACGCTTTAAAGTTACTATTTGTCTGAATCTTATTCCCAACAACAGAGCGAGAAGTCTGTCCACGCTTATGGCCGTTAACGTCGACAAAGACACTGAACATAATACATAGCTTGACATGTAGGCTGCGTCCCTTGCGTATCGACAAAGACTCCAGTGTTCGCAAACCACGGACATCCAATAAGTAGCAGCGAGAGGCTGAGTAACAAGACCAACCAACAAATCAGTTGTTGCCAGACAACGATACAAGAGTTTGGACGGTGGATAAAGGGAAGATTCCTGTTTTAGGGCAACAAGGATTAGAAAATTTCCAAGAAGTGCTGCGATGGAGAGGAAAATGTTAACTGCTGAGAAAGAAATCAATTGTTGTTGTAACCCAACTACCAAAGAGGGGGAGCATCGCAATACTTCATATGCTTTCGTCTGTGTTCCACTTTCTGTTGAGTTTGTCGTCGCAATCATTGTGCAGCTCTTAAAACGGTTTACCTCCTTCTGCTGCGGTTATTTGGAACTGCTGACAACACGGGATAATACTTCTTCACAGCAACCAGCTGGCCAAGAAACAGTTAAATCTAATAATTCTCTATATCATCAACACTAAAGGCTTCCTAAATGCTTCCTATTCCTTTTAAATTGGTTGAACGAACTGTCCTTCGAGACTTTTACATATTTATACATATACACCGTCTTGAAATTTGGAGGGTATGCCTTCCATCAATTAACCCCATGAAAGGTGTCCATCTGGTTGACAAATTCATTCAAGAACGCATTTTAAATAAGAGCTGAAGAAAATTTTTTAAGGATGGCTACATCGGTTAGTTTATTATTCTTTCAAAAATCTCTCTGTAGATAAAAAAAAGAAAAAAAGTAGGAATTGGCTAGGAACGTATATCTTAATTGATTTTGAGGATATTTGTCGATCCGCAAAATTACATTCCCGCTGAAAAATCGCGTTCAATAAAACATTGCAAAAGTTTGTCATCTTCAGCCAAATGAGAAACTACAAAGGGGAATCAATGGCAAGTATCCAGAGCACATTCTTTGTTTTCAGACTTACTCGAAACATCTATCGATTACTCGCCTACCAGCTGTTTACTTCCTCTTTGTAAAACTAATAAATAGGGAAATAATAAAAAAATTTAAATTGTTTATTTCCTTTCTTCATTCCTTTCTGTCCTTTCAATAGAACATCAGCCCTCAGGCTGATGTCAGTCATTTAGAGACGGATTTAATTTTTTGCCTAAAAAGCACCAACTGTCTCAATCCGCAAAAATAAATCTCCCGCAAAATGTTCATGCCACACGAAAAATAGTCTTGAAATACATCAAAAACAGTTATAATTCCGAAAAACATTTAATTGACGACTTAAAAAATTAATCTGTGGCTGTAGATGTCAAGAAATTTGAAATTGAAATTAACGTTTCGTTTCGTCATTTGAAAACATCCCCCAGTTATTTTCTCTTCTTTTCGCATCTGATCAGAATTTATAAAAGGAAACATAACAGGTGAAAACTGTAACTTAACTAAACCATCACACCCTTAGAAAGCCATTTCAACATTTATTCATCATTCCATCCTCCTTAATTTCTCTTAGTCTCATTCGAACGGCAGCAGATTTTGATCTTAAACTCTTTTGTTCGCTTCTTAAATTTAAAGTACTCGATAGTTATCGCTGAGAAGCCAAAATTGGTTACGAATTGCCAAAATGGATCGACAAGTTTGATTCATTAAAGCGGACATGCCTATTAAAATGTCAAAATATTGGAATATTCAAGAGATTACGACTTTCTTTCTTTCGAAACATGCATTTTCTGTTTTTGAGTCACTCAGAAGAAAATTTTTTGGGCTTTTGAGTAATCGGCAATTTAGGATCATTTATTGCAGTCACAATTATTTGGAATAAAACTTTAATTGGAAATTTAAACTAAAATGTTTTGACTTAAGTACTCGCTTCTTTTACAAACATATAGTAACACAAGAAAATATCCTGTCAGTTCCGTATTTCTCTTTTTCTCCGCAATACAGTGACTATCGACCATTCGCTTCGAATTTTCCTTTTAGAATGTTCAATATGTGTCAATTCTAAAACCGTTATAATCTACCAACATATAGAATTATTTAAATTTATTCAGTGGACTTAGATTCCTAACAAGCAGCGAGTTCGTAGAGGCCTTGCTCCACAGTATATCGGTAGAAAGTCAGACAGATAGCACCTCTCCGAACCTGGGCGACCTTTAGACGGGAAAAACGTTTTCAATCGGTCGCAATCCTAACCCAAATAGGTTTTTGAGTAACCTGTTTCTCCCGGTGAAGTCAGATTTAAGATTTCACTTCGGTATTCTCTGTTCTTTAAGCGTATTTTGAAACACTGTGTATTTTTATTAAACGCACAGCATGAGGAGTCTTTTTATAGGGGGCATTGTGTTTCTCCTCTCACGAAATATTTTCCTTTTGCTTGACACGGCTGAAAATTCAAGTATTCGAAGGTCTTCGTCTCTTTGTAATGCGTTTGGATGTCAAGGGTGGATTCCCCTTTAAAAGTGTCGCTTTTGTACACGTTTGTGTCCAAGAATATAAATTCTGAGTCTGATATTTCAGCCATGAATAGTGATTGTATCATGGCACAATGTACATCGAATCTACAGATCTTCTGACTCTTCTATTCTGTCTTTTCTTCTGTTCCACAGACGGAAAGTATTGATCATTTTACTCCTTCCAAAGTAGGGGTTTACTTCTGCTCAGGGCGATAATACCCTCTTTCTACTTTTGCTATGAAAATATTGGCAAAAGGTACTTTTGGTTACTGTGCCATTAAAAAAGTATTGAGTTCCCGGATAATAACAACAACAACGGCGCGCAAAACACATTGGTTGAGCGTGGTCTGTAAACCCGGGCAAGTTATAAATTAAATCTAAGTGTGCTGGGGAGCAGAAATGTCGACTCCATAAGTGTTTAATTACCCCGATTTCTTAAGCAGGAAGTGACTTGAAAACCAAGTAATCCTAATGAAGATACAAATTATTCATATCTCTTCCGATGGCTGGCATGTCCGTTCCTTTTGCACTTATGGCGCTAGTTTTATTTAAACTAAGAGCTTGAACGCATCGTGACACATGCGTATCTCCGGGGGAAAAGATCTAACTCTATGGACAGCAAAGTACTGTCTCACTTCACTAATCTTCTAGCAGTAAAGGAACGGGTTAGAGGGAAACTATAAATAAACTAAAAGAGTCGTTACAAAGTGAGAATTTGTCTGTATCTGAGCACCAAAGACTGGGCGAGAAGTCTATCCACGCTAATGGCCGCCATTGTCAACGTAGAAACTCCACATAATACAAAGCCAGTTATAAAGCTCGCATTAATTACGATTCGACAAAGATTCCACTTCTCTTGAACCAAGGCCAACCAATAGGCAGCGTAGAAAGGCTGGCTAACAGGACTTACCAACAAATCGGATGTTGCAAGACAACCATACAAGAGTTTGGACAGTGAATGGATTGAAGATTCCTTGTTTAGGGAAACGAGGATCAGGAAATTCCCAGGAAATGCTGTGATGAAGAGTACTATGTTAGCTGCTGAGAAAAAAGTTGCGATTTGTCCTACTTTTCCCACATAAGTGGGCGAGCACATTATTTTTTGAAAAGTTATCGTCTGTGTTTCGTGTGCTGTTGAATTTGTTGCTACAATCATTCTCCAGCTAATGAAACGGTGTCCTTTTCTTCCTTCCTTAAAACTCGTTCCCTTCAGTGACACTATTGACATTAAGACTTCCTTAATGCATTCTGCTCGCTTCAAATTGATTGAACGATTTGTTTGTCGAGATTGTTAAATAACAACAAGTATAATCCTTTCTTGGGAGTGTCTTTCATCGATTAAACCCCAACCAATAGTGTACACCACAAAGCTATTCATCTGGTTTATAAATTCAATTTTAGTAGGAGCTGACAAACATGTTAAAGATGAAGAAATATGTTCAAATGTCAGTTATGTAGAGACGGACTCAATTTTGTTTTCGTACAAAGCACCAATTGGCTCTATCCGCACAAACAAAATTCCTGGAAAATGTTCATGCAACAAGAAAAGCAGTTCTAAAATTCATTGAAAACCGTCATAATCCCGAAAAATGATACAATTGGCAATTCATCTTCATAATTTTAACAATGCAACGTTAAACAATGTTTTGTGATTGAAAAACACCCACTTGTTTTGCCATCTGATTATGTTGATAAAAGGAAAAACGACTGGCGTGAAATGTTACATAACTAAACTAGTTTGCACACCATTGGTAAGCCACTTTAAATTTTATCCATTTTTCCATCCTTCATAATTTCTCTTAGTCTCATTCTCTATTGGCCCCATTTTTTTTTCAAAACTGAAATATACTCGCTTCCAACAGACAAATTTCTTTCGCTTGTTGCTTTTAAAGGGTTTTAACAATGGAAAAGGTCCATTCTGCGTAGTTTTGTATCCTTCTTTGCTAATCACATCAAGATGAGAAGTGTTTTGAAATTAGAATTTGGTCAGTTTTAAACAGGCTGCCATGTATCCGTACTTAGGGTAGCTGGATGTGTTTAACTCTTCCCATACGGTGGCTTTGCTTTAAAACTGCAGTTACTAGATTACGCAAAGGAGCGGAAATTGATCGATATTTGATAACGGTGGTGAGTTTCAAAAGAAACTGCACTGCTGTTTTCCCGCAGTTCCCGCGTTCCCGCTGAAAAGCTGCTTTCAATGAAACATTGCAAAGGTCTGTTATCTTCAGTCAAATGGGAATCTACAAAAGTGAGTAAATTGCAAGTATCCCGAGGGCATTCTTTGTTTTCGGAGTGGCACTAACACCGAGGTTCTTTCTTGTCTTCGAAAAATAACAAAAAATTGCAAGCTTGACAAACTTGCTTCCCGTTTAATTAGTAGTGACTTCAAGATCACCTGAATTCTCGAAATTCGAGCAAATTTCATTTTCCAAGGCTTCACGGTCAAAGCCAAAAAAGGTGGAATTGGAGAATTATGGGCTCACTGTGTAAGAATGAGGTTCTCAATGGGGTGATGGCTTTTACGGCTAATGGTTAAGATTTTCGTCATATTACGGCGAACGATTAACATTATTCTAGTTCTTACCAGAAAATTCTTTTGTAGGTTAAATTTTCCTACGACTAACGGTTAAGTAATTTGACGATTTTTACGCTTAACGGTTAAATTTTTTGGCGGTTTTATGGCTATCGGCTAACCGCATTGAGAACCTCGTATAATGCTGTATCAAAATAATGGTGAAGTGTACAATGATCCAGCGGCGACGGGTAAAATCCAAAAGGTAGCTGTAATGATACATGTGCGCTTTAAAGTTACTATTTGTCTGTTTCTTATT